TTCTTTCCCTCCCTCCCTCTTTCCCTCCTTCCTTCTTTTCTTCTTTCAAACATTTCAGGAAGGCTTTTTATTTTTGTATTTTACATCTCTATGAAAAGAATCGCAGGATTTTCCCTCCTGTATATTTTTGTCTTGCTTCTTCGTGGTTTATGAATGCGAAGGTTGTCAGTACAATGAAGCCAAACTGATGGCATAGGAACAGATTGTTTGGACTGTTTTTCTAGGTCTTTGAGTTGTACATCAAATCTAGGGTTGTCACTCTACACTTGTTCAATCTGTCTGTGAGGTTCACAATAATTTTCTCAGCTCTGTGATCATCAGTGTTTTAAAATTCATCAATGTGACCATGCTTCATCATCACAATTAGCTACCAAACAATAACTTTGGAGCAGGGCCTGATGAGGACTTGGCATTTGCCTCTCTTCTCAGCACTGTTGATGCTCTCAGGAGCATCATGCCAGGGCATTCATGTGCACCATGGTGTTGGTGTGGAAAGACGGAAGAAAGAGCTCCTTATTTGTTTCTTTTTTGCGGTTTCGGGGGTGGTGGTGTTGAGACAGGGTTTCTCTGTGGCTTTAGAAGCTGTCCTGAAACAAGCTCTTGTAGACCAGGTTGGTCTCAAACTCACAGAGGTCTGCCTGCCTCTGCATCTCAAGTGCTGGGATTAAAGGCGTGTGCCACCAACTCCCGACCCCTTATTTGTTTCTAACAATATATTTCTCCATCTGTAATATCATTTTTGATATTACAGGTGTTGTAATATCATTTTTTCTAATAGGTTCTAAAGAAGATTAAAGATCATTAAAGCTTATAAGAGGCCCATGGACATAGACCTTCACACTGCATAAAGTTGAAGGGAGAAGGTAGAACCAGAGGAACACCAACCCAGAGATCTGAGCCTTCTCCCAGACAGCAGAGAGCTGTGAGGAGAACATCCCATGGATTCAGTCATGACGTGGCCATCCAAGGTCTGGAAGGTGGGTAGCATGCTTGCCCAATTCACGGTCAGAAAACAGACTTCAGAACCTTGCCTGGGTGTCCCGCGCGCGCGCGCTGTATGTTCTCGCCGGCAAGAAATACACGCAGGACACTCGGATCCTTCTGCAGAAAAGCTTTAATGCATCTTGAGAGGGGAGAGCATAAGCTTACCAGAGCGGAGACCCTGAACCAAGAATCCCATTCCTTAATAAAGGCTGGCAAGCAGCCGCCTGGGACGTGTTACCCTATGAATGGCTTCAGCTCCTCAGGCCAAATGAGCCACGGGATAGGCAGAGATCAAAGGAATGGAAATTACCCAGCACCTGTGAAGTAATTTACATTTTGGTGTCTGCAGGCACCATCATTGTAATGGAGAATGCAGGAACGGCTCCCTACATATCCCCCTTTTTTTATTAATTAATGATAAGGCTTATATTTTTACAAGCAAATAGGTCACCCATATGTTGAGGGATAGAGGCAGAGGTTGTACCTTCCCAAATCAAACATTAAGACTGTGTAC